CTCTCACCGTGTGGAACTGGTGGATTCGTGTGTCCGTCTACATTCTGTGTGAAACTGACCAATGGACACTTAGGAAATCACTGGACTGACCATCACGCCAGAAACCCTTCATTCTTCATTCAGTCCACATCGGAGACTCATGTGAAACGGCGTGCAGAGAGTTTACAGCTGCTGAAGCTGCTGCAGCAGTTTTGGAAAGTAGTGATGAAGATAACGGAGCATTTTGATATGAAACATATGAGGATCATGTTATATGAAGAGCCTTTAGAGGAGGATTTAAGGAGACATGAGCAAATCGAGAGAATGACCTCAGACCACAGAGGGGGAGTCAAAGACTTGAAAGACAGCTGCTCAGCTCAACTGCATACATTTTGTGATGTTAAAATGGATTATGACAATATTCAACAAAGTTTGCACTAATATTTTGGTCAAAATAAAATTCTCTACTTTTAAACATAAATGTCCATAAAAAGTGTTATTTTGATTGACTATATTATATTCACTGCCACAGACACTGCTGTGTAAATGCGTCCAGTCACATTTGTGTATTCAGGTATATTTCTTAGCCCCTTAAATGGTGAGTCCAAAGTTTTATTACACACTTCTATAATCTAAGAATAGCTCAACCAGTTTGCACTGAAGTCCATGTAGTTAATGAATAATAAGTCTAAGTATGTAATAAGCCTGGAATTGTACGGGATTAAGTTATCAAACCAAAAATAACCCGATCAAATTGAAACCTAGTGAAATTGTTTCCTCAATAATTATCATATCAAATTGTTATGTGATCAGAGATTTACTTACACACTGAGCGCCACTTAATTAAACATCCATATATGTAAATTTTGTCTATCTAATTATTCACTCAGTTCAATTTAGCTTATTGTTTTGTAATTTGTAAGTATAGAAATACTAACTTTAAAAAGAATAAAATAATTTGAAAACAAAAAAGCAAAGTTGTGTTTTTAGCATATTGCTAAATACATTAAAAAATGCTTTTATTTTAACTGGCACTTCAACAGGCAGCAAAAAAAGCTCAGCCCAGCACTAACACAACACGAAACCAAAGGAGAGGTAACGTGGGAGAACACTCCTCAGACACAATTACACCAAACAACACAACTATACTAACAACAATAACGGCAGCAGCAGTTACCTTCTTAACCCAGTGGCGTAGCACCTCCCGAGAGCCGCATGGCCACACCTCCAAGGTTACTCACAGCAGTGCGGGCTATGCCGGGCACCACAATATTGTGGTGTCAGTGTAAAACAAGACACAGGAAACGTATTGTTTAAGCCAGTGCTCTTTTATTGAACACAACAGCAGCGTTACTGAATGGCCAGGACAGCCGGTCAGGTCACCGACAGCCACACAACTCAAACACAGACCCCCACAGACCAACACAATAACACACAAACAACACAAACACGTTAGACTAGCAGCAACAACTATTTACAAGATTTAAGTCTCCCCTACCGCAAGTGCGCAGCCCCCCATGAGCCTGTCTATGGCCATGTAAACCAGTCGCACCATCAAATCCCACCAATCAGTGAAGTGCATTAATATTGCATACTGCACTTGGATAAAAGCTCTTATTATATCTAGTTGTTTAAACCATTATGCACTCAAAACATCCTCCTGGCTTAAGATTTATTGGCTTGATATGAGATCATTTCAATCAATCAACACTTACTTCAACTCTGAAGTACACTGAGGGTGTAAAGCATTGGTGTGCTTTTGTTGTCCGATGGAATATTTTTCTTCTTATTATTATTTTTTTGCCAGATTTTTTCCGCTAACTCATCCTACACCCTTCCACCTCCGGAATGTTTGGTCTAATCAGGAATGGTGTGCTTGTATACAGCTTTTCGAATGTATGTACGGTTTTCGTGCAATCGTGTTAAATGACTAATTTTTTCCCCCATAGGAATGAATGGGATGCAGAAGTTTGTACACCCAAGCTATGTCATATTGATACAAGTCCATTAGCAACAACCTATTAACTGTGCAGGGAACCATAGCAACCACCTAGCAACCAACTGGGGTACCTTAGGAAATGACTAGCAACCACCTGGGATACCATAGCAACTACCTAGCAACCACCTGGGATACCATAGCAACCACCTAGCAACAACCTGGGATACCATAGCAACCACGTATCAACCTTTGCAACCAGCTAATATACCATAGTAAACCTTTCACCATTCAGCAACACCATAGTGGGACCTGCTAAAGCTGCACAATCACATCCTAAATCACTTTATCTCACATTAATTTCCTGTTAGCACTTAATCTTTATTGTAGGTGTCATTGTTATTGTTCTTGCTGTCTCTGTAATCATCACTATGGTTGTTTCTGTGCTGTTATGGATATTATTTCTTTTATGCTTAATAATAATAATAATAATAATAATAATAATAATAATAAAAGAAGAGAAAGACTTGAGTACTGATTTAAGAGCAGACTGGTATCTTTAGTCGCTGGGAGAGAACAGATTGATGGATAAAGCCATTGGTATCATTTCAACAAATCTCTCTCTCTCTCTCTCTCTCTCTCTCTCTCTGTGCTGAGTTAGACCTCGGACTGCCAAAATCTCACATGCAGTAATTCTCATGTGAGAATGTGTTGGCGCCGCTCCAGAGGACCACTTTACTCCGGTCCACTCTGCACTAAAGCACAGCTCATTGTCAGATATCATTAAGCCCAAAGCCGTCTGTCTCTATTACATAAAAGAGCTCCTCCTTCTGGCTCCCTCTGACACCCCTATCAATACAGCCACAAAGCTCGCTCCTCAGCGGAGCGCTGTGCATCACTACGTCCAGTTTAACCCTTTAAATGATGAAAGTTTTATTACACACTTCGGTAACACTTTCTATGAATGTCACCTTTGTAAGCATCTATAAATACATTTATAACATGTTATAATGTATTCATAAAGCATTATAAACATGGTTCTAAATATTTATAAAAAATAATTACTCTGAATTAATTACTCTTTATAGCCATGTTTATTATACATTATGAATTGTTAATATAGTGCATTATAAATAGTGTTAATAACATGTTATAATGTCAGTGCCAAAGAAGTCAGTCCCAGCTTGGAGAGCGTAAAGTAAAGACAAATACCAAGCTAACGGTGGTGAACATTACCTTTCCCACATTGGGTAAAACACTGATGGCAGCTCTAGTTTAAACTCTGACATTTGAAGCCTGTAATGTGCTTTACTGTGAATGTTTTAGTGTTTCAGTAAATCCTTCAGTAAATACTTCAACTTGAAGCCTCACTCTGAACACTGGAGGAGGCTTTAGTACAGTACGCTTCACTTTACTTAGAGCGGACAAATATTATGATCAGTACTTATAATGTATTATGTAAACAATTCATAATGCATAATAAGCATGGCTATAATGTATAATGCATTTTTATACATTTTTATAGCTATGTTAATAATGTCTTATGAATGCATTATAACATGTTATGAATGTGTTTATAGATGCTTACAAAGGTGACATTCATAGAAAGTGTCACCCACACTTCTATAATCTAAGAGTAGCTCAGCCAGTTTGCATTGAAGTCCCTGTAGTTACTGAGTAATAAGCCTTAGTGTGTGACACAGGGTTAACTTTAACTCAGTTTAACAGTCTGCATGTAATAATAATAATAATAATAATAATAATATAATATAATAATAAATAATAATAATAACAACAACAACAAAACAATAATATAATAATAACAATAATAATAATAATAATAATCATAGGGCAAATAATAAGTAAATAAATAAACAAGGGAAAGACTTTCTGCCCATCGTGCCAGTTTGGTCAGGGATGCTGGAATGCTGATGTGGAAATCAGTATTGATCTGGAAACCACACAGGGGTTAGAACTGTAAGCAGAATGACCTACTTCTGTATTTAGAGCTCTGAGAATTTAAAGGGATTTTTGCAAGTGAGTTCAAAGATTTTCCTAGAAAAGAGGTCATCATAAAAGCAACAGCCACTAACCCCGCCCACACACCTCACCTAAAAAGCCTGTTGGTTATAATCAGCTTATAATCACCATTGTAAGCACTAGGCTGTGGAGCAATGGAACAGCATAGAACACTAACATCTACAAACTTATGGAGATCTAGTGTAGAACAGAACAGAGCACTGCATAACATGGGGTAAAAAGTAAAACACTGCTGTGTTCAATAAAAAAATGCACTTTATTTGGAGTGGACCTTTATAGTTGATTAATAAACTCTTAACAGATTATCAGTAACACACCAATAACATACCAGTGAAGTAGCAATAGTGAAGCATCTGGATACACTGAAGTAAATATCTTATAGATGTTATGTTGTAGATGTGTTGTTAATATGTTACTTCCATTACACAACACCTAACCTTACTAACCTTACCCTAACCCTGGCCCTAATCCTAACCCTAACTTTAACCTCAACCCAAAACCTAATCCTAACCCTCATGCTGACCTTAATCCTAACCCTAACTTTAACCTCAACTGAAAACCTAATCCTAACCCTAACCTTAACCTCAACTCAAAACCTAATCCTAATCCTTAACCTCAATTTAAAACCTAATCCTAACCCTCACACTGACACTAATCCTAACCCTAAACTTAACCTCAACCCAAAACCTAATCCTAACCCTCATCCTGGCCCTAATCCTAACCCTAACCTTAACCAAACAACATGGAATTTTATGGAGTTAACCTCTTAAAATCCCATTTTATTGCACACGTAGTCTTATTATTCAGTAACTACAGAGACCTCAATGCAAACTGGCTGAGCTATTTTTAGTTTATAGAAGTATGTAGTAAAATTGGGGGTCCGCTGGTGGGCCCTGACCATTTTAAGGCCATTTAAAGCCAAAGCCAGCTTGTGTTATGTTGTGCTCTGTTCTCTCCCGTCTATTAACCTGTAATCCTGTTGAATTAGCAAGGATGCTGCTGTTAAAATGAGCAGATATTAACATAGTCTTGTCCTCTGTTCCAGTCTGAACTACAGTGGGATGTGTTTGGCCTCAGACGCTCAGTTTAGTGACTTTCTGGACGGGATGGGTCCGGCGCAGTTTGTGGGCAGACAGACTCTGGCCACGACGTCGATGGGTGAGTGCCGTATTGACATTGAGCTGTGCTACAAATGAATTATGTCCTTTCCTGACATTTACACTGGTGCTGTTTTCTGGAAGCAGCAGAATGTCACGGTGAGCGTTTGTGTTGCAGGTGATGTGGAGATTGGTCTGATGGAAAGGAATGGACAGCTGGAGGTGGAGATCATTCAGGCAAGAGGACTCATCATGAAGCCTGGATCCAAAGGGCCACCAGGTAGCTCTCCTGTCAAAAGGAGTCCACTCTCCATTGTCATCTCAGACCTAAAGTGATAGTTTAACCAAAAATGAATACAGTTTTGAGATGAGTAACACTATTCGGACGGTCCACTGTAGATGCTTTGTAGATGCTCAGTATATATTTTATTGATATTCAATTAAATATCTATTAAATGGAACTGAACTTGAAGTTCGAACCTAAACCTAGCCCTAACCCTAACCTCAAGGCAAAACACCTTGACGGTGTTGATAGTCAACTGAATATCACCAGAAAGTTTGTCAATGATTTAAGTATCTGTCAATCATTTATAGGGGAACATCCAAATAAAGTGTGACCAAATAACGTAACAAATAAATAAAATAAATGAAGAAATATTATTTTTTTAGGCCCTTTTTCTTTTTCAGTTATTATTCATTCACCTCAGTTATAACTATAGCAATAATAACTTTATTTAGTGCAATTACAGATAGAGGATAAAGTTTAACGGTAATAGAAAAAAATAAATTTCCATGGACACGACCCAAAAACTGGGCATTTAGGCTTTTGAAGTTTCATATAAAACCCTGCGGGCACCTTGAGTCTGATTTGTGTCTGTACCTGTAGAGCGGGCTCTGGAGGAGAGTGCGCATTAATAAGGCTAATCTTGTTTATTTCATAACAAGAATTCCAGTATTGCTCAAAGTGGACCTGAACACGAATGCGAAATATTGCTTAACCCGTGGCCTTCATATTATAAACAAAGGGCTTTCAGTTTACATTGACTTTGAGTATTAAAAATATCTGATATTAAATATGCAGCTCAATCTGTAATTAAAAATAAAGCCTGTCTTGCTGTGTATCAGAGTTTTAGCGCTCAGCATGAATCTCAGAGGACAGAAAATCAATAAAAACATGTCCGCCTTATGCTAATTGTTTATTTTTACCCATAATAAATAAATAATCTCACTTTTTCTGGTGCTCATTATATGTTATTGTTGGGGTGTGGGTGGCCTCGGGGGTCTAGCAAAACCAAGATCCACCCAGCATTTTCCACCCATAGCTAAACAGCCGAGACATGTTTGGTGTCTGAAGTGGTAATTTGTTGTTTTCTCCATCATTGACTGGGTCCGTCAACCACATGTCCACCCTGTCACACAAAAGAGACAAAAATAATGATTTTTTTGCAACATTCACAGAAAAGACATGTAGCCTGAAATATTCCACCTCGTCAGATTCCACTCTGTCAGCGTGATGGGACTGAAGTGCTCAGTTTCATTTACTACAAAAAATAAAATGCTTGCTGAGGCGGCAACATCAGTTTTTTATGGAGCCCTGCTGGTGACATCCCGTATAAATAAAAATAACATGACCACGTTGTATTAAAGTGTGGGAATGAGATCCTAATGCGATACAATGACTTAGTAAGGCATGGGCATGAGATCATGCCTTATTAAGCTGTGGCTAAGGCTTAATTATCTCATTCCCTTCCTTACTAATTTGTGGCCACACATTAGGATCTCATTCACATGCCTTACTAAGTCGTGGTCACAACTTAATTATCTCATTGCCATGCCTTACTAAGTCGAGACCATGCATTGTTTTTATGTATGGGGGATGTCACCAGCAGGGCTCTGTAGTTTTTTGGGAAAAGCAGTAAGAGTTTATATGTCCATTTGGCACCGATCGTGTAAAATCAATCAGCTACGTTTGCCTTGTAGCTCCAGTGCAAAACTAAAGGCCATCGTACACTGGAGGCACTGGATTACATCATGCAGCATCCAAAAGTTTGAAACCATTATTTTTAATTAAGGTACCCACACTGACGTTGATATGCAGCATTGGCGCTTGGCGACTCCAAACACTAATCAGTTTCTCAGCATTTTGCCACAAAAAATTATATTACTGTATAATTAAGATTACTGACAGTTTCTGCGTACATCATGGTATAGTGTATTTGTGTATATTTTTATAGTATATTTGTGTATATTTGCTATCCGGTGTCGACCAGAGGAGGATGGGTTCCCCTTTTGAGTCTTGGTTCCTCTCAGTGTTTCTCCTCTTACTCTTAGGGAGTTTTCCTTGCCTCTGTTGCCATTGGTGGCACTCACGAAGGCTCAAACCCAGATTTTTCTGTAAAGCCGCTTTGTAACAACACCTGTTGTAAAAAGCACTATATAAATAAACTTTGACTTTACTTGACCTATCAAATAAAACCATTTTGGATGCTTAAGTAAACCTTTTTTGTAAATTAACAATGGCGCATTATTCTGGATGCCCCTTCACTTATAATAAGAGCCATATTCAACAACTGAAGTAAGTCTAAAATGTTTTTTATTGGGTGAAATTTTAAAAACAGAAATATATAATATACAGACAGATGTCAATATTGCAGTCAGTTTACTATCAGTTTTAGCTGAGAAGCAGCTGGCTGAGTAAGAAGCCCCATAGGCGGCACACACGCAAAGCCAGGTAGTCTCTATGCTAGGCTAATGGATAACAGCTAACCCCAAGAGACCGGCTTTTCCTTACATTCTGTTTTCCCTCGCTAACTCATTAACTCATTATACTCTGATCTGCTTTCTTTATCGAATTTCTTAATCGAATTTCTAGACCTTACTCTGATCTAAGAAATCAGTGTGTTGTTTACATGACCATTCGACTAATCAAATAACTGCAGAAATCTGATTATGATCGGATGATTAAGTACATGCAAACGCACTCATTGTTAGACTGTAAGTCGTTCCGGATGATTGTGTCTTCTAACAGATTTTAAAAAAATGTTTTTGCAGCCTGATGTTGAATAAACAAACACATTTAAGTTAGTTAAACCAATTGACTTTAGTAAGGAAACTCTTGAAATTCTGAGTTCGCTCAGTCTTTTTCACTTTCATCTCAAAACAATGAAGAGTGAGTTATCTGGTGCCAAATGAGGTAAATTGATGAGTGTTGAAAGTTTAATTTGATTCAGTTTATTTGAGTAGAACAATATAGCTGCACGTTGATCTGTATCTGCAATGTGGTGGCAAACTTCATACATCAAGTAAGTCTCGGCTGATCGGCTACATTTCAGATGAAGTTGAAAATTGTGTGAATTCGATTTCTTACTGTACTGCTGCTGTAAGAACATGCTGGAGAGTTTGATGAGAAAGATAAAGGGAAATATTAATCATCTATGCAGGATTAAATTACATAACAAAGCCCACAGTAATGGTGATGGCCTTGTTTGTGTGGGACTCATTTTATGTGTACGTCTCTGGAGATGCTGATAAAAGAACACTAAATGGGTTTTTTTCAGGCGTCCCTGTGATCCTGCGCATCTCATACATACGTTTCTTTCATCTTTTCAGCGGCTTACATAAAAGTGTACCTCCTGGAGAACGGTATGTGTGTAGCCAAGAAGAAGACGAAGTCTGTGCGGAAGTCGCTGGACCCTCTTTACAACCAGGTCCTCGTCTTCTCAGAGAGTCCGCAAGGAAAGGTCGTGCAGGTAAACACGAGTGGAAAATAGATGCAGCTTTATATTTTACATCACAGCCGTCATATTAAAACCCAGTTTGAAAAATCCAGCTGCTTTTTACATTGTGTGAACGTTTCATGATGAATGGACCGGCAGAAATAATAATTATGTATAATAACAAAGGACAATCACTTAAAGGGCCCATATCACCACATAACACTTGAGTCATATATAAGCATACCTAAAGTTTCAAAATGTACCGTTCACTCTCCATCCATACAGTCTATATATAGAAACTAAGTTTCAAAACAACTGGTTTTAAATCATTGTTTTTATGATATCACAAAAACCAATATATCCACCCATTCAGTCTACAGCAGTTTAGTCCCGCCCACTGACACAGAAATGATAAGGAGTGTTTCAACCTGATACAGGGCAGCCAATCAGAACATAGCTCATTTACACATATCAGTCTTATAGACACAAAACCAAAGGTAACAAAAACAGCCTGTTCCATTCTAAGAGATAAAGAGAGGATGGAAAATTATCATGTAAAAATAAATTATGATGTTTTAGTACATTAGCCCACATGAAAAATTATATGATACGGGCCCTTTAATGTACACTAATGTTCAGTGTTTTTCTTCTAATATAAAGTGACTATCTTGGAGATACAAGTCTTTTTATGACAGTTGTAAAACAATATTTTAAAAGGAAATTTTGAATTCTACCAAAAATGATTTTAAATAAATTTAATTAAAATCACATAAAAAGTTTCATTTAAAAAATGCTTGAATTATGTTACAGCCTGGTTAATTCAGATCACAACAGAAAGTCTTTCTTTGATTTTTATTTTTTTCTGTATTAAGTTGAAGGATTAAAACTCTGATCAGGCCAAAGTGACAAACAATCCCAAAGCAAGCTAGAAGAAGAAAAACTCAGCAGTAACCAGAGAACCCTCTGGGCCTTCTAGGTGTTCAGAGAAGGCCTAATGACATCTATTAAATTTAAAGAATACATGTCTGTAAAGCTAATTCAATCTGCAAGTATTGTCGTATTACTATTATTTCATTATTAAGTTTTCGTTGGAAACAACAAAAAAAGGGTTAAAATCTTGGAACTCCCAATAAAACATCCAATCAGGATTGTTCCCTGTGATATCTATGTTGATACAGCCAAGCTGCTCTCCCATTGGTTAGGACTTCAGGAGCTGGACTGAAGGCCTTACACTTTCGGTTAACTACCAACATAATTAGGCAGTGACAGAGGAATCAACCAATCACACTTTGATTCACAATTGGACCAATTTAGAGAGATGAAAATGTCACTCTTGTCCTTCTGGAAGTTCTAAATATGTCACTGACTGTGAATACGAGTCGTAGTCTAAGCAGTGTTCCGGTTAGTTGTTAGGAATGATAAACAGTGGCGGCAGCTCTATGACAGAACTCTATACTGAAAGAGTCACTGTAAAAACTGATACACACAAACTCAGATATGATAGTGTCTGTTACAAGCTTTAAATTCCAGGTTTTATCTGGAACAGCCAAAAATAATTATGAATGCTACACTGTTAGAAATAAAGGTTCTGTTCAGGCACATTTCTCGTTCATCAAGGTACAAACAGTGTAAATGTTCCCTCAAAGGTTCAACAGTGGTTTTAAGGTCTGATTGTGAACCTTAAATAAGTTTTTCCAGGTGAAAAATTCGTATTTGTACCTTTTCATAACCGAATATTTTAAACAGAACAGTAAAATAAAGTCCTGGAGACGAGACGGGGTGTGTGGAGTCAGTACAGCTTAGAACATATCATTTCAGTGGATTATGGTTCAGTTATGTTTCCTGACTAAAGGTACTGAGATGGACCCTTGAGGGTTCCACCCCAGTCACGAGAGGGGGACTGACCCAGTGACAGTTTAGTACATTTATTTCTGAGAATGTAGTGTTAGCTTAATGTTTATATACTACAAAATCTATAGGGTGCTTATTTAGTATTTTATGACATTATTGACCTGATCTGAAGGCCTAGCGCTTATAATCATGGTTCACCACTGATAACTATTGATAACCAGGAGAAAAAGCTGAATAGAAGCACAAATGGTGTTGAACTTGATATTTCCCAATTGCCAAATGTGCACTATTATACAAGATTTATAAATATACACATTATCAAAAATATACAGCTTGGCAAAATCAAAAATGCGCAAAAGGAGTCATTCAACTGAAAACCACAAAAAACAAATGACGAAGCAAACATATGTGAAGGAGACAGCAGTCTGGAGGTCTTGAGGCTTCTTTTAAGTAGTGAGTGTCAGGAGTTTATTGTGACAGTACAAAAGCCCACTTTTACAGTGAGCTGCTGATTCATGTCTACAAGTCTGAGCTGCTGAGTACAGTTTACAGTCAGTGTTTATTATTTATGACAGACGTGGGTCCCTTCCTGAGCTGAGCTGCACAGCAGACGATAAACGCTTGGAAAAATGTATCACCCGTCCAACAAAACAGCTGATTTTATTTATCTGATTAAAGCTAGACTGTAAAAATTGGCTCATCAGTTCATCCTAAAGAGTGACTTTATGTGGAAACAAGCAGTTTAAAAACTGTAAATGAAACAATGCGAAACCAAAATACTTGGTGTAGTTGAACAAAAACGTCAGGCATAACATTCTGACCACTTCCTTGTTTCTACGCTCATTGTCCATTTTATCAGCTCCACTTACTATATAGGTGCACTTTGTAGTTCTACAGTTACAGACTGTAGTCCATCTGTTTCTCTGATACTTTGTTAGCCCCCTTTTACCCTGTTCTTCAGTGGTCAGGACCCCCATGGACCCCCATAGAGCAGGTACTGTTTGGGTGGTGGATCATTCTCAGCACTGCAGTAACACTGACGTGGTGGTGGTGTGTTAGTGTGTGTTGTGCTGGTACGAGTGGATCAGACACAGCAGTGCTGCTGGAGTTTTTAAACACCTCAGTGTCACTGCTGGACTGAGAATAGTCCACCAACCAAAAATAGCCAGCCAACAGCATCCTGTGGGCAGCGTCCTGTGACCACTGTTGAAGGACTAGAGGATGACCAACACAAACGGTGCAGCAGCAGATGAGCTATCGTCTCTGACTTTACATCTACAAGGTGGTCAGACAAGGTAGGAGTGTCTAATAGAGTGGACAGTGAGTGGACACAGTGTTTAAAAACTCCAGCAGCACTGCTGTGTCTGATCCACTCAGACCAGCGCAACACACACTAACACACCACCACCACGTCAGTGTTACTGCAGTGCTGAGAATGATCCACCACCCAAACAGTACCTGCTCTATGGGGGTCCATGGGGGTCCTGACCACTGAAGAACAGGGTAAAAGGGGGCTAACAAAGTATCAGAGAAACAGATGGACTACAGTCTGTAACTGTAGAACTACAAAGTGCACCTATATAGTAAGTGGAGCTGATAAAATGGACAATGAGCGTAGAAACAAGGAGGTGGTCATAATGTTATGCCTGATCTGTGTATGTTCCCGGGGTAGCCTACATTTCTGTCATCAAATCTCCTGTTTCTGATTGGCTGGTTCTGATTGGCTGGGTTGTAAGCTCTAAATGACATTTGTCTTGGAAACATAATGAAGTAAAAATAAAATTTCTACTCCAGTCAAACTCTAGGACAGCACGAATCTTCCTAAATAATACTGTGGCTTCTGTTTAGGGGACGTGACCATGCAAAGGGGCTCTCGGGGAGCACCAACCTCCCGGTTTAGAAAGGGACTGTTTTTGTTGCTGTCATTAGTGATGTTGATGTCGTTATCAGTGTGGTTGTGTTCCTTGGTTCAAATTGTGTCCTTGTAACTCGTTGTTGGAAGTGCCTACACTCCTCCAATGCCGTGTCCTCCCGCGTTCCCCCCATCTCTGTTTTTCGTGTTGGGGTTAGCGCAGAGCTGGGCATTTCTTGCTGCCTGTTGAAGCCCCTGTTCAGAGCTTTTTCCCATCTGTGCAGTGTTTTCTGCATCTCTTTCTACGCAGACACTACAATACTGACAGAGTGACGAAGAACAGTTACTATTTTGACGAATGTGGCTTTAAGGCAGGCTGGTTTTAAAAGGAAGCCAACTCTGAGTCACTGCAGTAAAACAAAAGAATAGAAGTCAAATCCAGTCAATGTTCTACTTTAATACACGCATCTTAGTCATGGATAAAGGGAACATTTAACATTCGCCCGAGACAGAGAACGTTTAAAATTCGGCTGAAATGAATTATTCTGAAGAGAGCACTTATGAAAGGCTGTCATAACAAACATTAAGGGATCTAACAAAGGCCAGCCATCTGGAGAGAGAGGGGGAGAGAGAGAGAGAGAGAGAGAGAGGTTTAGTGCGTGTAAAGTTTCGTACAGTAATGTGTGGAATCCACAAACTGAAAAAGGGTGGTTGTAAGTGATTGTAAACTGAAAGCAGGGAACAGTTTGTACAGCCTGGTTTCTCCTGTTTTGCACATTAGCAGCGTATATAATAACTTCTTCAGTGTAGTTTCAAATACTATAAGCTAAACACCAGAAGACTTTAAGATATTCAATATTTAGAGTATTTGGGATCAACATTAAATGACCAATAGTATCATATGATCCTCTCTTTGTAGTCATTTTTGTCAGTTTATCTTCCACCACCATTCAAATCTGTTGCATTCTGGATGTTAAATTTACTATAACTTAATTCCCAATTGAATAATATCTGATCTATTAATATAAATCCATTGATATTGTTATTACAGACTTTTCTCCACTGTTTTCATAAAGGAGTCTGCTGTTTTAATGGCACACCAGTGCTGTTCTTTCTTGTTGTGTTATAGGCAATATCTTAAGGTTGCTGACAGTATATATACACACGGTATGAACAAAAGTATGGGGACACCTCCTAATTTTTGAGTTTCACTTATTGCTATCAGGTGGGTGAAATCAAGCACATAGCCTTGCAGTCTCCATAGACAAACACTGGCAGTAGAGGGTCGTACTGATGAGCTCAGTGACTTTAAACATGGCACTGCCATAGGATGCCACCTCTGCCTCAAGTCAGTTTGTGAAATTTCTGCCCTGCTAGATCTGCCCCAGCCAACTGTAAGTGCTATTACTGTGAAATGGAAGCATCTAGGAGCAACAACAGTTCAGCCACGAAGCTGTGGACCACACAAACTCACAGGGTGGGTCCGCCGAGTGCTGAAGTGCCTATCCTCTGTTGAATCACTCACTAAAGAGTTCCAAACTGCCTCTGGAAACAACATCAGCACAAGAATCGTGTATTAGGAGCTTCACGAAATGGGTTTCCATGGCTAAGTAGCTGCACACAAGCCTAAGATCAAAATGCGCAATGCCAAGCGTCGGATGGAGGGATGTAAAGAGCCGCCACTGGGACTCTGGAGCAGTGGAAACACATTCTGTGGAGTGACGAATCAGCTTCTCTATCTGTCAGTCTGAGGGACGAGTCTGGCTTTGGAGAACGTTACCTGCCTGACTGCACTGTGCCAGCTGTAGTTTGGTGGAGGAGGGATGATGATATGGGGCTGTTTTTCAGGGGTTGATCTAGAACCCTTAGTTCCAGTGAAGGGAAATCTTAATGCTTCAGCACCAAGACATTTTGGACAGTTGTAGCTTCCAACTTTGTGGAACAGTTTGGGGAAGAACCTTTTCTGTTCCAGCATAACTGAGCCCCAGTGCACAAAGCAGCTCCATAAAGGCCTGACTGGGTGAGTTTGGTGTGGAAGAACCTGACTGGCCCTCACAGAGCCCTGACCTCAACCCCATCAACACTGTTGGTATGAACTGGAATGGAGATTGTGAGCCAGGCCCTCTCGTCCAACATCAGTGTCTGACCTCACAAATGCTCTTCTGGATGAATGGACACAAATTCCCACAGACTCTCTCCAACATCTTATAGAAGCTTCCCAGAAGAGTGGAAACTGGATTTAGAATGGGATTCATAAAAGCTCCTGTAGGTGTGATGAGGAGGTGTCCCATATACTGTATATATACAGCCGTATGCAAAAGTTTAAATTCCATGTTGTTTTGATTTTCTAAGTGAAAATCTCTATTTATTATATCAGAGGGAAATAAAACACAACATATAAGATATGTTAAGATATGCCATAACTTTTGTACAGACCACATTTTGTGTTGTATTTCTTTCCCATGTTAAATCTAGCAAATAAGTAGTACTTGTGCTGTGTGTGTGAAGGTTCTGTCTGTAGAGGACATATATACACACAGCCCTGAGCAACAGCCCAAAGTGGCAAATGATTAAGATTTTAAAATATATGTATCAAATACATGTACCAAAAAAGTTTTAGGGCTCGTAACATCAGCGAACTCTTTTTGATTTTTCTTTTTGCTGTGCACATTTATAACCCAAGAGTAGCTCAGCCGGTTTGCACCAAAGTCCCTGTAGTTACTGAATAATCTGCTGCTGTCGGAACAAAACCTTGTATCTCCAAAATAAGAACTTTACAGGAGAAGGAAAAAACATTGAATACTTTGAATGTAAGTCAATGAAAACAGACTTTTTTCCCCAAGTCATTTTGGGCCGTTTTCTTTGGTCCATTCATCATAAAATTTGAAATTCACACACAATTTAAAGGTCAACAGGCATTTTCACATTATGTCAAAAACTGAAAAACAATAAAAATGGAGATACGAGGTTTTGTTCCGACAGCAGCGATAAGCCTTAGTATGTAACAAGCCTGTGATTTTAAAGGGTTAAATCAATAAATAAATGACAAGTATTTAAACCGGTGGTAAATTAGTTGTACATGACTTGATTTAAAGAATTATTTCTGACAATTTGAATTTTGGTTGGTGTTTTGTAAGTCATTTCTGTCCAAACAAAAACACGTGCCTCCAAAATGGTACCTTTACAGAAGGAAACTTTGTTCATTTTTACTGTAAGTTAATGTAAAGAGCTTTAATTCCAAATGATTTTTGAGCATTTCTATTAATCCTTTCATCATGAAATTTTGCTCAAATGATGTAGAAAAATAAAAAAGATTAAAATTGCAGATATGCTCTACAGCATCACTCAGAAAGTAACACCTCTCTCTCTTCACAGATCATCGTCTGGGGAAACTACGGCCGGATGGATCGCAAGTGCTTCATGGGCGTGGCCCGCATCCTGCTGGAGGAGCTGGATCTGACCAGCATGGTGATTGGCTGGTACAAGCTGTTCCCCACCTCCTCCATGGTGGACCCCACGATGGCCCCCCTAATTCGACACTCGTCCCAGCTCTCCCTGGAGAGCACGGTGGGGCCGTGCTGCGAACGCTCGTAAGACGGCCGGCCGAGCTTTCGTTTTTGTTTTTTTCTCTCCGAAAGGGCTCTCGAGGCCCCTTTACCTTACAGCGCTGGTTGTGCATGCCGCAGCTGAGCCGTCTGGAGCCTTCTGGAGCTCTCTAGAATCCTCTAGAACGTAGAACCTTCTGGAAAATTCTGAGCCTGAGCGCAGGTTCCCGAAGAAGGGTTCTTTTTTTCTCTCTCTCTCACTCTTTTTTTTTTTTAAAGAAGTAAATAAATAAATAAAATGATAATAATATAAAGACACCAGAAGCATGAGCTGAAGACTGAAGGAGAATGAAGAGCTCTTTGTCCGTGTCTGTGTAACTGGGACTCGTGTTTTCCGATTCTCGTCAGTGGTCTCCGTGTCTATCTGAAGAAGTGTGTACATCTTATGAGTGGTCTCTATCGTCAAAGACAGTCGGTGTTGTCTGTATACGGATCTTTCGGTCGTGGGGAGTGGCTGCGATGTTGCGTCTTGCGGTGTGGAGAATATCTAGCCATAGATCGGTCTGTGCAATATCATGTAAAAGTGGCGGGAACCAAGTACGAGGGTCAGCTAAGTCGAGGCGTAGGCCTTTTTCTCGTTAGAGTTCTCGTTAGCGCAGAGGACAATAGATTTAGATGGAGTGCTCGGTAATTGACGCTTGGCTCAAGTCGTTCTTTTTTTCTCCTGTTTTTCTTTTTCCTCTTTCTTCCCTTTTTAACTGTGCCAATTCTACCAGCAAGTGTCTTTACTTTGAGGCTTGTGCCATCGTTCACTGATCAGAGGCTATTTCTGAGCTGATCCATCAGGTACACACAGGGATTTATTATTTTCACTCCTTGTTGTGACAAATAATAGCACATATTCCAGTTTTGGAGTATGATATTGGGTTGTTGAGATATATATTTTTCACAAAGAATATGACAAATTATAATCTCTTTCTAGGTGTAAGAGCTAATTAGTCTTAGATTAATAGAAAAAAAATTATATATAACAATGTTCATGGAATGAATGTCAGTAAATATATTTGATTTAGTCACTACTATACGTGATGGTCTAGTTACGCACTTTATATCTAAAATGTCCTTTTTTTCATATATGCTTGCTAGTTCAGAGTGAGCCAAAGGTTATTATTACTACTATTAATATTGTTTGACTCATAACTTTGATGTTGCAGGATGCAGAACTTTCAGTAGCAATGTTAAGGTTATAGCATTAGATAGTAGCATAGGCATGAGAGGCTTTTTTCGGCTTGCCAGAACCTAAATAAGATTTAGCATGAGAGTTTTAATCGGGAGAATCTCAACGTTGAGCGAAATATGTAGCAGAGATGCATAATCATGGAGATACTGTTACATTGCAGCGCAGAAGTACGCTCTGCCACACTGAAACAGAGCTTATGAGGACGCGAGGGGTCTATATTTTTATGTTTGTGTTGAAAATGGGCTCTAAAATCTGTTTATGAAACATTACATAGCATAAGAATGAGGATTCTATAAATTCGCTTCACACAAGGGAATTAAAAAGTGAAGTAGCATACCTGGTCAGCAGTGGGGAACCCTCAGGGCCTTTTAGGCCTTCAAAAAAGGCCTAATGATTTTTCGGGAAGTAAAAAAATATATATGTCTTTCATGTCTGTCATTTTTATTTCATATAATCATCATGCTTGTCGTATTTATAGCTCTCCAGGTATTGCAGTAATAACGTTTTGGTTGGAAACAAAAGGGTTGAGATCTTGGAAACCCTGATGGAAAAGTGTCCAATCAGGATTGGTATCTAGGTAGAAGCAGCCAGACGAGCTCTCCCATTGGTTAGGCCTTAAGAACCTAACTAATAATACTAACATAATTATTTTTGGTTTACAGTGGGACCAACTTTGTGAAAAAACACCTCACACTAGGCCTTCTGGAAGTTCTAGATACATCACTGCAGTTTAACCAGGTTTGAGTTAGTTGTTAGGAATGGAAAACAGTGGCAGCTGCTCTATTTACTGAATAGAGTCACAGTAAAACTGATACATTCATGCTCAAACATACAGTAATGTCTGTTACAAGCTTCAAATAAAACATTGAATGTCTTTTTCCAAGCTTCAAATGTCCGTATTTAGTGTAAAACCACCAAAAATGTTAGCTTGGCGCTAACATACTATTAGAAACCCCATAGGGGTGCTAGCAGACATTAGCATTATTGTACACGTGGGTCGTTTTTTGACCGAGTTTTGACATTTATGGCCCGAACTGAAGGCCTAGCTTTAGTAGAGACAGTTCTCCACTGCTGTTCAGACTATCAATACTGACTTAATCAAGCCATTACATTTCAAAACACTGCCATTTTCTTCTTTTTTGGGTAATTGAACATGTCCATCATCTAAAGCAATAAGAACCTGTCTTCTCGAATCAGTCTGAGGCACTAGCAGATGTATAGTGGAGGGGAAACTAAAAAGCCAAGCCATTCATGCATCACATTAGACAGTCCTGAGTTCATGTAGCAATACTACATTTGCTTACGTTCGGGAAACTCTATGTGGAACACAGTGAAAGTCTTGTCTCTGGGATTTCGTCTCTGGAGTTTGATGCCAAAAACATTTTTATTTAAGCGCTTTTTGGTTGTGAAAAAAAAAATGTACAACGAAAGTAAATATCTTTTATGAATGAGTCACTATGGATGAATGTCATTCTCCGCTTCCAGCAGTGGAGGAAATGTTACGTACACGTTCAACTCAATAGAAGTTTGATATTAGCCTCAGTTTCAAGTCATTCAAATAGGTTCGGCACAGTAATGTAACGTCTTACACCTTTAGTTCGGGGTTCTCTTATGAGGGACAGTGTTCTCGTCTTATTTGTGTCTGTACATCCATCTGTTACATAATGAACTGAACTTGAAAGACATTAAAAAATCTTAGGCACCTGTAAAGCCAGTTATCTGGGCAGTAAGTATTTATTGATTTAAAAAACAACTAACATTAAAATAAGTAAACAAATAAACTGTGCTCTTCTAACTGTAATAATTTTATTGAAAACAACACATTATTCTCACATCTGATTGCATTTATGTTTATTTTACGGCTAAAATATTAGCAGTTTATTAATTAATTGTGATTAACTACAGAAAATAAGGCAGTTAATCATGATAAGTTGCATTTGTTTGATTATTATTATTAACTTTGATCCTAAAGAAAGATATTTTCCATTTATAAAGCAGTGCATTGTGTTATAGCAAAATGAAAGGACAAAATAAGCTTCGTTAGAATGTATTTATTACTTTTATGTTATTTTGAATGCAGAACCTGAACATGAAAATCAGGTGATCTCCAGAGAGTGAACACAGCTTCAGTGAGAGCAACAGTGTCTGCACGTTCCAACCAATGAGTGTATGTATCGTATATATCATATATACAGTCGATAGTCAAAGTTTCATATATAGCATATATACAGTCAATGAGTATATATATATATATATATATATATATATATATATATATATATACACATATTATATGTGCAGTTAATAAGGGTGTATATCATATATCTCATATATACAGTCAATGAGTGTATATATCATATATACAGTCAATAAGTGTATGTATCATATATGTCATATATACAGTCAATGAATGTATGTTTCGTGTATATCATATATACAGATGATACAAAGTTTCATATATAGCATACATACAGTCAATGAGTGTATATATCATATATATCATAAATACAGTCAGTGGTTCAGCAGTGGTACAGATGGATCGAACTAGGCAACTAACACCACCCAGTATATCACAATATTTCTTTTTTCCAACATCTGATAAGCTGGAACAGAAAATACTTCAAAAACTATGAATATAATTATTTGTTTTCAACATTTAACGCAATGTGCTGCACTAAATCCAATTAATTAGGGCTAATTATGCTCTCTTTGTAAGTAAAAGGTGCAGTTGGGAAGTGTTTTTCAGAACTGCCAATGTCCACGATATGCTCAGAAAAGCATATTGTGACATATAGTGACATAATTTATCACGATTACAATAAATACTGTCATATTTCCCAGCTGTAGTGTTAATATTTGATCACATTAACAGGTTATTAAGTATGACAGACCTGGTTTATTTGTATTTGTTTTAATGTTATACAGTGCTTTTCTGGCGAAGATATGCTTACTGCTGAGATAAACAGTCTCAAACAAATCTCACGTCTGCCTAAGATGTATGCACGGTACTGTAGGTAGAATTAGATTTTTGAAAGAAGGCTGATGTCAATGTTAATGAATATCAGCTGCTGTTTTGTGAACATATTTTTAATTTGTAGATTAAGTAACGTTTGCAGCCCCCCAACTACTAATCAGTCTGAAGTTATGCTGAATTGTCTAATTTAGCTTGGATTTTTAATGGTATTTAATCACTTTATTTTCATTTCAAAATACAAGAATGTATCTTTTGGAACGTAAACATCTCTGCATTCAATAAAACGACTGAAAATGTCTTTAGAAGCTGTAGTGAAAGAGGCCTTAACCCCAAGAATACCGGAGGTCTTAATGCGATTCCAGTTCTAATACCAGAACGTGAACATGTGGGAGCGTTCTTTCACGTTAGTGAACATTTTACGATTGTTCTTTTCCGGTTGTCAGTACTTTTGTTTTATTTTATTTATTATTAAACCTCTGAACATATCATTTGTTATAGTCGAGGCTGACGAGGGGGATCAATGCATTCTTTAATGTGACGCTGTGACGAGTTTTTTTCTGTGTAGGAAAACCTGTTTAATTCCTGACGGTTCATTCTATGTAAATTTGAATCATTTGAAGAAGATAACATTGTTGATTAATGCACAATTTGGTGAATTGTTATTCTGTTTAAACTTGTTGTAAAGAATAAACCAGTTCACTCTGATTTACAAAATGCGTCGCTATGGCGACTGAATGAATGACTGATTATTGACTCAACTTTAAGAAATGGTTCAAATTTGGGTGTGAAGATGAAAATAATATCGAATGACATCATTAAAAAGGGGAATTCCACTAGTTTTTCCAAATTTCATCCATCATTCAGTTGTTTGAGATGTAAACACACTGATTCAGAGTGGTTTGGTGTGAAATGGTTCAGATGTCTTTACAGTGGTGGTGATAGGAACCAGGGGTCGCCATGACTACAACACAAATATAGACATTTTATTTACTATCCAAAACCACCAGTGAACCTACGAGAACGAGTCTTCTGAGTTTAT